GACAGGAGGGTCTGGGCCACCTGTTCACTGGAGCTCTCCGACTCTACTCATGCCTGTCCCAGGTGTGCCACGTATGAGGGCGGATCCCCCCCAAAGGGAATTTATTTATGAAAAGTTTTTTATTTATTCTTACATGTTTAAACTTCAGTCAACTTCAAAGTACTCTTCATTGGCTGCAATACACCTATCAAGATGCTTTTTCCACTGCCCAAAACAGCTTTTGAACTCTTCAATTTTAATGTCTTTTAGTTCTTCTGTCATTTTTTGTTTCACCTCTTCCATGTCAGCAAAACGTTTCCCTTTGAAGACTTTTTCATCCAGGGAAACTAACCCCCAAAAATTTGTTCTGTGCAAGAGTGGAAGAATACAGAGGGTGAGGCACGGGGGTCATGTCAGTTTTGATCAAAAACTGCTGAACACTCAGCGTCGTGTGGACAGCTGCACTCGGAAATCACCCATCACGAGATGAGCAAATGCGTTAAAAGAATCTTTAAAAACAGACCAGGCACGGTAGCTCAAGCTTGTAATCCCAGCACTTTGGGAGGCTGAGGCAAGAGGATTGCCTGAGCTCAGGGGTTCGAGATCAGCCTGGGCAAGTTGGCAAGACCTTGTCTCTACAATAAATCAAAAAATTAGCCTGGCATGGTAGCATGTGCCTATAGTTCCAGCTACTTGGAAGGCTGAGGCGGAAGGATCGCCGGAGCCCAGCAGGTCGAGGCTGCGGTGACCATGAGCGTGCCACTGCACTCCAGCTTGGGCAACAGAGTGAGACTCCAACTCCAAAAAAAAAAGAGTCATTAAAAACAATTCACTGAAGCCAAACGCAGACTTTCACAACAACTCTAGCTGGTAGACTGATGCTGATGGGTTCCTAGAACACCTACCTAGCCAGTAAAGCCTGAACTACAAAGGGCTGCTCTCCAAAAGATAATTCTGGTTGTTTTTGGTCCCCTCTCATACAGAGGACTGTTGTTGGATTTGTTTGACTTATGACTTGGTAGGTCCTAAGTTAGCCACGTGGCATTCCATGGGCAGGCACTCTGTCTCTACCAGGACCTAGTGACATCCAGGAACTTGCTTCTGCATGGTGTATAATTCTGTGCTGCAGAGGTCATGACCTTGCTCCAGAGCCCTAGTGGTCCACAGTGCCATGTGCCATGTCCTATGGGGCCCATAAGTTGCACATGACATCCTCCTCACCTGACACCTCCAATACCCTGCAGTCCTATCCTGCAACAGCCCAAAGGCCTTGGCCACAGCCTGGACCTGCTGCAGGGCCCTGCCCTGTCTGGAACTTGCCTGGAGCTGACAGCCCTGCAGGTCATTCAGTGACGGGCAGCAGCAGCGTCCCCAGGGGTGGATTGTGTGCCTCAGAACTCAAATGGCCTGTCGAGTGTGTGTCTCCTTCCAAGTGCTACAAGATGCACCGGGCAGCACTGCCCTTTGCTTGGAGAGGCTATCCCAGCAAGGATGGGACCATCGAGAAGCTCCACCAACAGGCAAGCCCCTGAGTCACTGTCACACTCATCTCCCACCCCAGAGCTCCTGTGACTTACCAGGACCCTTCTGTCTCATCAGGCTCAATCAACATGCTGTCACCAACATGGTGACCAAAATGATGCTAAGGCCTCTTCAGACTATATTGTGACAGAGGGTAAGAGTTCACGTAACTCTGGGCCAAGCCTGTCAAAAAGCTCAACCGTCCAGCCCACGAGATGCCAACTGCTTCTGATCCTCCTTCCCAGCCAAGATGGAGGGAAAGTTATTTGCCAGACTGAGGCCCACGTGCCCTAGGGAAGACCTTACATTGGGCATGGCAACTGTAGCTGGGGTCCCTTGGTTGGTTTGTGTGGTCTGCTGTTGTCCTATAGGCTGCAGATATGATAAGACCACTACCCCACATCCTCCGGGTCCCCAGGGTGGCACTAACCCCTGCTGTCCCCCGTCAGGATACAGTGGATACAGTGGTTTTGATTGACTCTCTTAGCTGTGGGAGTAAGGGGCAGTTTCACAGACCTCCCAATTGTCTTCCCTCCGGGCCAAGGCACCAATGGGGGGAGGAGGACCAGGCGTGTCCACTCCAGTCTCCCTCCTGTAGACCAGGAGATGGCCGTGAGCCATGAAGTCCCCTCGTGCACAAGACCCAGCCAGTTACCACCTGGGATCCCTGTGCCTCCACCCTAATGGAGCCTCCAAGTCAATGTCACCTTGAAGCCTATGTCCAACCATCCTCAAAATATTTGGGTATTCCCCTTCCCCGGTGTAGTTACTGGAGCAAATGGCTACAGGCATTTCAGGGAAGGATCAGGAGGTCATCGCCACATATATTTGCACAGTTGGCAGGACTCTTCCTTCTGGGGGCCCCGCCTCTCCTGTAGTCAGGATGTTCTGGACCTGAACACAGGGTCAGGTTTTGGGATGAGCCAAGGGAATGTGGCTTCTTACTGCAGTGGTTGCTCATAAGAGGGACACGGGCTTGGGCACCCACAGAGGGACTCAGCCGTGAACCATCAGCAGGCCACACTCTCAACAACTGGGGAAGGGCTTAAAGGACAGCCGAACGGCACACACAGCCTCCGTTGTACACATGTTGAACTGTTCCCATATGTCGGTGCTGTGCTGGGTGTTTGACAAAGTTCAGTTCTTTTATTCCTCACCATCTCCCTCTGAGCTAAGGATTGTGGTTCCCATTTCACAGATAAGGATGCTATACTTGCCAGGTGCGGTGCCTCACGCCTGTAATCCCAGCACTTTGGGAGGCAGAGGCGAGAAGATTGCCTGAGCCCAGGGGTTCGAGACCATCCTGAACAACTTAGTGAGACCTCATCTCTACAGTAAATCAAAAAATTAGCCGGGTGTGGTGGAACGCACCTATAGTTTCAGCTACTTGGAAGGCTGAGGCTGAAGGATCCCCTGAGCCCTGCAGGTCAAGGCTGCAGTCGCCATGATCATGCCGCTGCACTCCAGCCTGGGCAACAGTGAGATGCTGACTCAAAAAAAAAAAGGGGAGGGGGGTGCTGTACTCATTATATTTCAGGTTTATCTGTAACAGACTTGGGATGACAACAACTGAAACAGTCTCAACACCTATTTCTCTCTCACTGAAAAGTCCAAATGGATAGGTGGTCAGGTGATACGATGACTCTCCCACACCAGTGCCCGGGGACTGCTTGGTACCCCGCATCTCAACATGAGGCTTCTGTCCCAAAGTCCAAGATGGCTGCTCGACCAATGAGAGGGGGCAGTGGGGAAGAGTAGCACTTGATAGTCTCTCTGAGCTCATTTGGAGGAGATCATGTCTGTCCTGGTATAACCTGTAAGAAACATGACGAGGCACTGCCTAAAGTTGGGACTTGAAGGTCTGGGAGGATTTGGATAGGCAGGCAAGAGAAGGCATCCCAGGGTGGCAGGACTTCCTGGGCAAAGGGAGAAGGCAGACTTAGTGCTGGATATTTCTGGGGGCATGAGAAGCTGGCAGGCTGGACTGGGAGACTCTTGTGGGGAGCAAGTCTGACTGCAAAAGCTGGGGAGGCAGAGGAGGCCCCAGGGTAGGATGAGGCCTTTTTTTTTTTTTTTTTTTTTTTGAGTTGGAGTCTCACTCTGTTGCTCAGACTGGAGTGCAGTGGCACACTCCCAGACACTGCAGCCTCGACTGCTGGACTCTGGCAATCCTCCCACCTCAGCCTTCCAAGTAGCCGAAACTACAGGCACACACTACCACGCCTGGCTATTATTTTTTTTTGATTTATTATTGTAGAGACCTCGCCAAGTTGCCTGGACAGGTCTCGAACCCGCAGGCTCAGGCAATCCACTCGCTCGGCCTCCCAAAGTGCAGGGATTACAGACTGGGCCACCAAGCCCTGCCAGGATGAGGACTTTTATTCTAAGATTTTTGACCAGAAGAGTGTCATGGGTGGAACAGAAGCTACCATAGGAGGTGGAGGTGGGACAGCTGACTCAGTGTGAGAGTCAGTATGGCACCTTTAACAGAACGCCAGCACATATCTCATTCTTTTTTTTTTTAATAAGTTGGAATCTCACTGTCACTCAGGCTGGAATGTAATGGCACACCCATGGCTACTGCAGGCTCAACCTGCTGGGCTCTCACGATCCTTCCACCTCAGCCTTCCAAGAAGCTGAAACTACAGGCACACACCACCACACCCGGCTAATTTTTTTATTATCATAGAGACGAGGTCTCGCCAAGTTGCCCAGGCTGGTCTTGAACCCCTGGACTCAGGCAATCCTCTCACCTCTGCCTCTCAAAGTGCTGGAATGACAGGCGTGAGCCACCACGCCCAGCACCTATCCTTTAATCCATCTCCCAGTGAAAATGAAAGAGCACAGGACTTATAGTCAGTCTGACCCAAAGTCTCATCCTGGCTCCGTGACCTGGCTCCTGTGAGACCTCAGTCGGGTCACCTCACCTCTCAAAGCCTCAGTACCTAGTAAGGACGTTGGGACCACCCTACTAAAGGCTCATTTCCCAGCCTCCCTTGCAGCTAGATGTGGCCATGTGACCACATTCTGGCCAATGGGATGAGGCCAAACAAGATGCTGTCACTGGTAGAACAAATAAATATGGGAATAAATAATAAACACATGAGCCAGTGGAGGAGTAAATTCCAGTTCCAAGGAAGGAGGGATGCCTTCCGTAAGCATTTTATTGAGTTTTTATTACACTTCAGACTCTTTCTTGGTGTGGGGATGCAGCTGCGAGCACAGGAGGGAAAGAGTTGAGCTCTCCTGGAGCTGAGAGTCTCATGGGAGGGACAGGAAAGATGCAGAGATCTCCATCCTGGGGCAGGAGAAAGATCAGGCAGGACAGGAGGGGGAAGGGCTGCAGTAGACAGGTGGTCAGGGAAGGCCTCCCAGAGGGGGCACACCTGAGTGAGGAAGATGAGCAAGCCCTGGGTTTCTGGGGCAAGAAGGCCCCAGAGAAAGGGCTGGTGAGGGTGGCCAGAGCCTGGTGACGGAGAGACCAGTGCTTCTCTCTCCAGACACGGAGCTGAGCAGCGGGGAGGCCGAGGAGCTGCAGCGCATTAAGTGGCACCGGAAGCAACTTCTGGAGGACATCCAGGTGAGGACGCATCCATGCACGCTCACACGCATCCACGTGGCACGCCCAAACCCCACAGGCCCACACACAGACACGCCTGTACGCCTCCCCTCCCCTCCTGACCCCGCCTGGTCAGACAGCATGGTGGCCTCAGCCGCAGTCAGGAGTGGGGAGGACCCCAGGACCCCCAGAGGACCAGGGATGCAGGGCATGCCGGGGAGGAGGGGCAGGGAGCAATCCAATTAGGCACCTACTGTGTGCCGAGCACGCTCCACCTATACCCGCGTCCCCCCAGGGAAGGTTCTAACCCCAGCTGTGTGGCCTCAGCCAGGCCTTCCCCTGCTGAAGTCCAGACCGTTTGGCCAAGGCGACACCTAACGTGTGCCCTGCACTTGCCCTCGCCAATTGGCTCTTAGATCAGCGATCTGTCCTCAGCAAAGGCCTGGGCTCCGCTCCTGCAATGCGCCTTGCCCCTGGGGCGTTGTGCCTGCGGCTTTCTCTGTCCGATAGACTTCCCAGCTCTCCTCAGGGCTCCTCCTTCTCATTCTCTCATTCTAAGCTCAAATATCACCTGTTCCCTGACCACCCTGGACACCCTGGCTACGGCTTCTGTGCGCACCCCCCACTCCCACACACTTAAACTTAGGATTCTGGTGAGGGGTGAAGGCACATCATTCAAGCTGCTAGTGTTTTATTGAGCACATACTATGTGTCAGTCTCTTTCTGTGCCCTTGCCCTGATCGTGTTCTGCATGGTCATTTCATTTGCCCCATGGCCACCCACCATCCCAGTCCCACTAGACCGTGCACCTCGTGAACATACAGCCAAATGTTCACACAACATCTTGTCCACCGCTGTGTCCCCAATCTGCTAGTTGGAGCATAGCATATGCTGTGGGAAGCCACTCAGCGACTCAGCCCAGATGGCATGGACAGGAGCTGATGGGGTCAGATACAGGTTCCCTGGGCTGGCACTGAGTCCCAGGACAAGCCCCTGGGACCCGTCCCTTCACCGGCATCCCACTGATCTGGGGGTAGGGGGCTCAGGTGCATCTTGGGGGCATTGCCCCAGGCTCATGCCGCTGTCCTGCAGGGGGCACTAGACCAGCTGCCCCTCTTCCCATTTGCCCCGTGGTGGTGGTTGGAGTTGGGTTGGGGGTGTCCCCTGCCGGCACTTCCTCCAGGGTCAAGACGAAACAGGCTCAGGGAGGAGTCAGACCCCGGGCATGTCACATCATCCTCTGTGCCTCAGTGTCCTCTTCTGTAACTCCCATGGGAGCTGCAGAGTCCCTGAGAAGGAGGCCTATGCTGCCTGTGCCCGGGTGTGCCTGTGGTCCCTGGCACATCATGGGCACTTAGTAAGAGTGAGTGACAGAGTGAGTGGAGGGAAGCCAGAGAGGAGCTGGGGCCTGATCGTAGGGCAGGAATTAGGAGGCAGTGGGGAGCCTTGGGAGGACTTGAGGGGAAGGCAGGGCAAGAATTAGGAGGCAGTGCTCCAGAAGATGCCAGCAGGGTGGAGGTGGGCTCCTCGGGAGGCTTGGCCCGAGGGCGGGATTCCTCACTGCTGCTGAAGAGGAGATGGGAAAGCCAGTGATGGGTTGGGCGAGTGGAGGGGACTTGGGGACTCCCAGCCCCAAGACAAGAGAGGCGAAGGGATGGGTGTAGACAGAGGCAGTCAACTGGCATGGGACTTGGAGGGTTGAGATCTGGGGAGGGGATCTGTCAAGGGAGGGTCCCTCAGCCCGGGGGGCTCAGGACAGAGGCCCGGGAGTAATGCCCAGGGGTGAGAGTGGTCTCAGGCCCCCTGGCTCCTGGACCCCCCGTCATGCCCACTGCCCCCACAGAAGCTGAAGGATGAGATTGCCGATGTGTTTGCCCAAATCGACTGCTTCGAGAGCGCGGAAGAGAGGTGAGGGGCCCGGGGGGACCCCAGGAAGCTGCCGTGGTTGATTCTCAGGAACGTCACACACCATGAATGAGCAGAGGCCACATCTGGGCCCCAGGCCTGGTGAAACCGGGGGTTGGCCCGGAGGAGGAGGCAGCAACAATGAGGCAGGGACAGGCAGACTCCAACCCTGATCAGTTGAGTCTGGTCCTGGCTTCCAGACCGCCCCTCTCTTGAGACACACCCTATCTTCCCACGCCCTCCACCTGAAGTCTCTGGCCCAGCCCTGACCCATCACTGGCCACAAGCACAGGGAAGCTCATCTCCAAGGACAAGGACGAGGGCACCCAGGGCCCCAAGAGGACAGGAATCTGGCCCGTGGCAGGCCAAGGCCCTCTACTCTAGTCCCTACTCACAGGGTGTCGGCCTCCGCCTTCATGGGAAGACTCCCCCCAGCTCTGTAACCTGAGCAGATCCCACCTCACCTGTGCAATGAGAAAGTTGGGTCCTACACAGTCCCCTGAGGGACAGACTCCTACATACAGCGTCCCAGGAAACCCCCACCCTGCCTCTGCACCCCTTGGATTCCCACCGTTTCGCCCTCCCCCACCACACGCACTCACACATGCACACACACACGCCTGTGTCTCCCCCGCCTCCCTGTCTCACCCAGGATGCTCACCCAGAGCCTGGTTCCAGCACCTGTGCCCCAACTGCTCCGTTTTCTTGCCAGGGCCCCTCTAAATGCTCCCGCACGGCAACTCCAAGAGCCACTAGGTGCTCACACGGGGCCTGCTGGAAGAGCCTCATCTGGGCTCCGAGGAGGAGCCCAGATCCCACTTGTCCCTCGAGCTCCCAGGGAGGCATGGACAGGCCCAGGACCCCACCCAGAGGCTGCAGAAAGGACCTGGGGGAGGGGGTCCCTGGGAGTCCTGGGCGGCCAGGCTGACGCCCTCGTGTCTACAGCCGGATGGCCCAGAAGGAGAAGGAGCTATGCATCGGGCGCAAGAAGTTCAACATGGACCCCACAAAGGTAGGCAGGGCTGTGGGCACGGCGTGCTGGCACCTCACTGTCCTCTCGTGTGCCTGAGCCCCACGGCAGCCCCTTCCCAGCAGGCCCACGTGTCTTGTTCAGCGCCAGGGCCGGCTGCAGCTGGGTTCCATCCCCCCAGGGCAGAGCCCCCTAGGAGCCAGGAGGATAGGAGAGTCCATGGCGTCCATGTGCCCGGCCTAGGCCCTTCCCCACGCTGGCTCCTATGGCCTCCTCTGTGGACAGAGGCGTCTTCCAGCCCCGGGCCAGGGGAGAGCCAGCCTTGTGGTCTCACCACCCGCATGAACACTGGAGCTTGGGGTTGGGTTAGTACGCCCCGTCCACCCCAACCTCCATGGCCCTGGAGAAACCCCAGCCCCCACCCCTACCCTGCCAGGGGCAGCCGGGATCCCTTTCCCAAAGAGACAGAAACAGGAAGAAGTCACACACTGACAGGCCGAGGAGGAGTCAGGGCAACCAGCGGAGGTGCCAGGCTGGGGTCCCTGGAAATTTACTGCTTTGCTTAGGAGGCTGGCCCCTCCCCATCACAGGCCCAGAGTGTCACAGCCATTAAGCCCCCATGCCACAGACCCTCAGACCCCTGCTCCCATCCACATGGGCCCACACATGCTCACTCTCACACCGACCCACACTCTACCCAGCCCCTGGGGGTCCCTGCACCTTCTGCCTGTCACTCTGAGCCCCCACAGCCTGCGCCCACCTCCCAGCAGTGGAACCTGGGGGAATTCTCAAGGAAAACCGGAGACCACCCCCCCCCCGCCCCGCACTCTACAATTAAGACGCCGGCTCTGCATGCCTGGGCAATGGTGAGGAGAGAGGTTTGCAATAAGTCCAAGCAGGTCCAGTGTGCGGGCACAACCCGCTCCTGTGCCCATTGAGAAAGGGAAGAAAGGTCAACGCAGTGGAAAGTGTCCACCTCTGAATGATAGGACTGGGCCAATTTCCTCCCCTTTTGACTTAGCTGTTTTTTTCTAACTTTCCTACAATAGACATAGATGACCATGTGAAAGAATGAAACACTATTTTTAAATAATATGAGTTTTAGGGGAACAAAAGGCATGGCTGAGTCACTGAATCTTAGAATTACGAATTCTTAGAATCGGTGAAGCATATAATCAAGGAGTGCCAGGCTGAAGGGGACCCTGGGGAGCACCTGGCATGAACCTGGTTCACTTCAGGAAGCCCAGTTTTCTTTGCACGCCTCCGGTGATGGGGAACTCACCACCTCGCAAAGGCAGCTTCTCTTAAGGAGGGGATACAGCTTTCCAGAACAGGCTGTGTCAACACCAGAAAACCAGGCCCCAGGGCCTTGGCCCTGGGGTAGGACTCCCTTCCTCCCTCCCCTCCTCCTCCCCAGCTTGCTGCCAGGAGCTTCTCAGGGCTCTGTGTACTCCCTCCAGGGCATCCAGTATCTCACTGAGCACAAGCTGCTAACCCCCGACGTCCAGGACATCGCCCGGTTCCTGTACAAGGGCGAGGGCCTCAACAAGACAGCCATCGGCACCTACCTGGGGGAGAGGTAAGGGGGGGGCCTTAGGGAGGCAGGAAATGAGGGCGCACAGGTGTGTGGATGTGCCGGTGTGTAGTGCCAGGGTGGATTGCATTAGGAAAGTCACAATGCCTGCGACTTGAGGGGTTGGAACGAGTGAATCATCCCCTCCAGATTCTAAGCCCAAACCTATATACCTTCATTCATTCATTCAAGAAATAAATCCTCGCCGGGCGCAGTGGCTCACGCCTGTAATCCCAGCACTTTGGGAGGCCGAGGTGAGAGGATTGTCTAAGTTCATGGGTTCGAGACCAGCCTGAGCAACTTGGCAAGACTTCATCTCTACAATAAATCAAAAAATTAGCTGGGCATGGTGGCCCATGCTCGCAGTTCCAGCTACTTGGAAGGCTGAGGTGGAAGGATTACCTGAACCCAGCAGGTCGAGGCCGTGGTGGCCATGAGCATGTCACTGCACTCCAGCCTGGGCAGCAGAGTGAGACTCCTCAGAAAGAGAGAAAGAAAGAAATCTTGCTCAGAGTGCTGTGTTCCAGGTACCATCCTAAGCTCTGGCTTACACCAGTGAGCAGGCAAAACTCAAATCCCCAGGGAGGCCCATCCCCACGGGGGAGACAGATCTCAGTGTAGGCAAAACGTGTTAGAACATGGTCGGTTCTCTGGAATACAAATAAAGTAGAACAGGAAGGTCAAAAGTACTGGAGATCAAGGGTGAGGGGCTGGGGTTTTAAATAGTGTGGACAGGAAGGGCCTCACAGAGAAGGTGGCATTTGATGGAAACTTAAAGGAAGTGAGGGAGTGAGCATTGCAAACCTCCAGGGAGAGGGGTGGTCAAAGAACATCGAGTGCAAAGGTCCTGGGGCAGAGGCAGATGCTCAAGAAACAGCAGGTTGGCTGGGCAGCCTGTAATTCCAGCACTTTGAGAGACGGAGGTGAGAAGATTGCCTGAGTCCAGGGGTTTGAGGCTAGCCTGGGCAACTTGGCTAGACGTCGTCTCTACAATAAATCAAAAAATTAGCTGGGTGTGGTAGAGATCCCTTGTAGTTCCAGCTACTTGGAAGGCTGAGGTGGAAGGATGGCCTGAACCCAGCAGGTCGAAGCTGGGTGGCCATGAGCGTGCCACTGCACTCCAGCCTGAGCAACAGAGTGAGACCCTCACTCAAAAAAAACCCAATAAAAACCACCTGGCTTTGAAACTGGAAGGGAGCAAGAGAGAGAGGAAGTAGTTGGTGACAAGGGCCTGGTTCTCTCCTTGGGCAGTCACGTGACTTGGGGTCACCGGGTAGGAAGGAGCCAAGGGAGGACTTGATTCAGGGCAGCTGCCCCAAAGCCAGAGCTTGCCTCGGGCCAGACCAGCACGGCACAGCGGACTGTGAAGGCGTGGACGCCCACGTGGGACGGAGTGGGTGTGCCTGGGTGTGATGTGGGTGGGACAGAGCGGGCACACCAGATGGCACTGGGCCCCTGAGGGCAGGCGTCTCCCCCCACCCCCCACCTTGCCCCCTCTGCCCGTGCCCAAGCGTGTCCCGCCTCCTTCCACCCCCCAGGGACCCCGTCAACCTGCAGGTCCTCCAGGCCTTCGTAGACTGCCACGAGTTCGCCAACCTCAACCTCGTCCAGGCCCTCAGGTGAGTGGGGGTCGGGGGTCACAAGCTAGGGGAGTCGGGAACAACGAGGAAGAGTTGAGGAGCAAAGCAGACCAGTGGGCGGCCGGGGGGCCGAGGCCACCGTCCAAAGCAGGGCCGGGCTGCAGCCGCCACCATGACGATATCCTGTGTCCGTGTTGCCATGACTGTGGTGGGTCCTTACAGTCCCCATGACGTCATGGCCGCCAGCTGCCACTGGATTAGTTAGGGCTTGTTTTATTTCCGTTATTAATCTAGATGAGTATATTGCATTTATCACTGCTTATTCTTTCCTAAGTAGGACACTGTCGTTGCTACAACGGCTGAGGCAGGGCAGGGTACCTGTTAGGAGCACCGACTCTAAGCCACCCTACACAGTTCAAATCCTAGCTCTGCCATCGCCCCCTGTGACCACGAGCAGGTCACACGCACAAATCTCTCTGTGCCTCAGTTTCCTCGTCTGTAAAAGGGGGATCATAATAGCACCAACTTCATAGGGTTGTGAGGTCTAGAGTCAGTCTTGCTGCTGATGGTAACGCCTGGAAACTCAGCTCCCAACAAGGAGCATCCGATCTGGGCTTTGAAGGATGAGTAGGAGTTTGCAATAGAGAGGAAGAAGAAGCTACCACCATCAGGGAGTGTGACCTTCCATCTGACTCCCGTGCTGTTTAAGGGAGAGGGGTAGATGGCTTGGGAGTCTCCCAAATTCTTTCATTCATTCATTCACGTATTCAACAAGCCTTCGCCCTTGTGTGAGGCCCAGCGAAGGGAGAGGCAGGGGCACAATCCTCGCCCTCAAGGAACTTGGCTTGCAGCTGTGGAAGTCTCCACATTCCAAGAAAGGGAGGCTGAGCCAGGGAAGGCTCCCCCGCCCCCGGGCCCACATAGCCAGATCCCAGGGCCCAGCAGCCAGGCAAGGGAGCCATAGGACCCGGCAGGCAGAGGCCCCCTCATGGACGGGGCAGACGAGGCCGCTGTCAGAGCTGGGTCTCAGGTGGGCAGAGGCGAGTGGACACACGCTGAGTCCCAAATTCTGAAAGTCACGGCGTGTCTGGACGCCCCTGCGGGCTCTGCACTCAGGTTCCACGCCCCGAGTCCTAGCCGCAAGCCTGATGACAGGTGCAGGTTCCCCCACTCACAGGATGGAGAAACTCAGCCTGGAAGAGGCAGAGCAACTTGTCTGGGGGCCCGTTGGGAGCCCCCCACCCACTCGGCTGCCTGTCCCTGTCCCTGCCCCAGACAGTTCCTGTGGAGTTTCCGGCTGCCGGGCGAGGCCCAGAAAATCGACCGCATGATGGAGACCTTCGCCACCCGATACTGCCTCTGCAACCCCGGCGTCTTCCAGTCCACAGGTGCGGTGGGGGGAGGAGGGGAGGCCCTTCAGCACCGCCAGGCGACGACCTCACAGACCCCCTCAGGCTGTCCCCGGGCACCCAGCCCCCTTCAGGAGCTCACTGAGCGCCAGCTCCGTTGCTGCTGGGAGCTTGTCTGGCGGTGCTGCCTTGGGACCCGCACCCCGGGAGAGGAGGCAGGAAATGGTAGCACGGGGTACCAGGGCAACAGCACCCCTGTCTGAGGGCAGGGGCAGGGAGTCAGAATGGCTAGGATGGCTTCTCACAGGCAGAGTCTAAATAGGGTCTGAATAGAGCTTTGAAGGATGAATAGGAGGTCTCTGGGAGGTTAAGGAGAGAAAGGGCATTTTGAGCGGGAGTTTTGGTTTGAGCAGGGGCCCAGAAGCAGGAAACGGCCGGGGCAGGGTGTCAGGGCACAGAGGTATAGAAGGAGGTCAGCAAAGATCAGTCTCCATCCTCTTCTCTCTGGGGCTAACCGAATGCCCACATGAAGACCCCCCCAGAGGACAGGGTGGGGAGGGGCCATCACAGCCAACTCATCCTGGCCTCTTACCTGGGTCTAGCGTTATCACAACAATGACTCACTCTGGGAACTGAGCCGTCCCTGTGTGTTAAGTGCTTCACACGTGCAAAGTCGGTTATCTTCACGTCAGAGCCACGGGGCCAACAGTGTTTCCACCCCTTCTCAGGACACAGAATGCAGCTTCAGAGAGATAAAGTGACTTGTCCACGAACACCCCCTCTCGTGCCTGTGTCCACGGACAAAGCCTGTAGCGCATTCAACCCTGTTTGTGGTTCTGTCGGACGTTGGTGTTCGCACGTTCACTCTCCGGCGGCTACGCAAGCCTAAACGTCCCCCAAGGGCAGGGGACTCATGAGATCTAGTCACCGATGACCCCAGGCCCACAGCACAGGGCAGGTCCCCATAAATAGGGGTAGAAGCCCGGCGTGGGGGCTCACGCCTATAATCACGCCTCCTCTTTGGGAGGCTGGGGTGAGGGGATTGACTGAGTCCAGGGGCTCGAGATCAGCCTGGGCACCTTGGCGAGACCTCATGTCTACAATAAATCAAAAAATTAGCACAGCGTGGTGGTGCACACCTGTAGTTTCAACTACTTGGGAGGCTGAGGTGGAGGAATTGCCTGAGCCCAGCAGGTCGACGCTGGGATGGCCGTGAGTGTGCCACTGCACTCCAACCTGGGCGACGGAGTGAGACTCCAACTCCAAAAAAAAAACACCGGATTGAATCACAGCCCCAATACTTTTTTTTAATTTTTGATTTTAAAGATGTGGGATCCAATTCAGGCTTAGGTATACAAATGTTCATCATGCAGGTACGCTTGTTGATGAGGTGTGCCAATACTTCTTAATGTTGTGGTCTTGGGCAAATAACTTCGCCTCCTCCTGCCTCAGTTTCCTCATCTGTAGAAGGGGGCTAGGCACAGGACCAGCCTCCTAAGACGGCGGCGGAGACATAACACACTTAGCACAGAGTGAGCACCAACAGCGAGCGTTAGGTGTGCTCTTGGCAGGGATGGAATCATTGGTGTCCTAGAGCACCAGCCACTTCAAGGATTAACCTCCAAGTGTCACCAATAGGGACGCTGAAAGTCAGGGTCGCTCCCAAGGTCAACTGGGGACTGGAGACACAGTCGGAGTTCCCTGACCCTGGATCCAAGGCCCAAACGCTCCACAGAAGCCCCAGCCTGAGTAGCAGTTGCCTGCCTGGCCAAGCCGGGCCCTGCCTTCCTCCCAGGCACTTGGATGTCTGAATAACGGGGAGCCGGGAGCCCCACACAGCCAGCAAGATTACAGAGTGGCACGTGCCTGAGCCCTGAGCCGGCTGCCAAGCATAAGTGTCCTCCGAGTTCCGAGGAGGCAGAACAGAGTGGGCAGGGGGCTGGCTGGAAGGACTCTGGGGGAGGAGGCCTGGAGCTGGGGCTGAGCCAGAAGGAGGAAGTGAGAAGGAGAGAAGGGGAGGGGGGAGGGCGGGCTGCAGCCGGTCCAGCAGGAGCAAAGCGCGGGGGTGGGTGGGCAGGAGGGCCTCAGATCAGAGGGGCTCAGATGGGACCACCGAGGTTTGTTTGGGGGTGGCGACCAGCAAGAGTGGGAAGGGAGACCGGGCCTCGAAGGGCAAGCCCGGAGGACAGAGGGCTCTCTCGGGCCTGGCGACGGCAGAGACTTGGCCCCTAGAAGGGGTGGGGCAGAGGCAGGAGAGAGGCCAGGGCCAGGAGCGTGACCCGCCGCCCCTCCACAGACACCTGCTACGTGCTGTCCTTCTCCGTCATCATGCTCAACACCAGCCTTCACAACCCCAACGTCCGGGACAAGCCGCCGTTCGAGCGCTTCGTGTCCATGAACCGCGGCATCAACAACGGCAGCGACCTGCCGGAGGAGCAGCTCCGGGTAAGAGGTGCACAGCCCATCCGGCTGGTCCCAGGACACCCAGGAGAGGCCCGTTCCTGGAGGAATGGCCCAGAGGGGCTCCTCCAAGACAGACACTCCCAGCAGGTCCTCCGCTGAGATGGACCACCAGGTGTGTGAATGCCTAGGATGGACAACCAGGGGGTGACTGTCTAGGATAGACCGCCAGGTGGGTGACTGTCTGGATGGACCACCAGGTGGGTGACTGTCTAGGATGGACCAACAGGGGGTGACTGTTTAGGATGGACCGCCAGGTGAATGACTGTCTAAGATGGACCACCAGGTGGGGGGCTGTCTAGGATGGACCACCAGGTGAGTGACTGTCTGGGATGGACTGCCAGGTGCAGGGCTGTCTAGGATGGACCGCCAAGTGGGTGACTGTCTGGATGGATCGCCAGGTGAATGACTGTCTAGGATGGACCACCAGGTGGGTTACTGTCTGGATGGACCGCCAGGTGAATGACTGTCTAGGATGGACCACCAGGTGCGGGGCTGTCTAGGATGGACCGCCGGGTGGGTGACTGTCTGGATGGACCGCCAGGTGGGTGACTGTCTAGGATGGACCGCCAGGTGGCGGGCTGTCTAGGATGGACCGCCGGGTAGGTGATTGTCTGGATGGACCGCCAGGTGAATGACTGTCTAGGATGGACCACCAGGTGGGTGACTGTCTGGATGGACCGCCAGGTGGTGACTGTCTAGGATGGACCGCCAGGTGGGGGGCTGTCTAGGATGGACTGCCAGGTGAGTGACTATCTAGGATGGACCACCAGGTGGTGACTGTCTAGGGTGGACCGCCAGGTGAATGACTGTCTAGGATGAACTACCAGGTGGGTGACTGTCTGGATAGACCGCAGGTGGTGACTGTCTAGGACGGACTGCCAGGTGGGGGCTGTGTAGGATGGACCACCAGGTGGATGGCTGTCTAGGATGGATCGCCAGGTGAGTGACTGTCTAGGATGGACCGCCAGGTGGTGACTGTCTAGAATGGACCACCAGATGGGTGACTGTCTGGGAATAAGCCACCAAAAATAGTCCTTCCCAGAGTGGCCCCATCTTGAGGATTCCTGGAGATAGACCACCCAGGAGATCCTCCCAGACTGAAGCTTTTGGGGGCTACAGGCAGCTGTCATCCATACCTTCCTAAAGGGGTAGCTCATGCAGCCAGGTCTATTTCTTGGAATCCCAGATTCTCAGCCTCAGTATGTCAGGGCTGGAAATCCTCCATCTCTGGGCTTGAACCCTCCCTCACTTGGAGAGAGAAAGCTGAGGCCTTCCACAAGCCCTATGTTAGCTCCAGAGCCAAGCAGGACCAGGCCTCCTGGCTCCTTATTAAGCAGCCCCACACCCCTGCCATGCTGTGCCGGGCCCTGTGCCCAGCACTGGAGACCCAAAGAATGATCCAACCACAAGTGCTGCCCTGACCAAGTTCAAGGTCTCGTGGGAAGATGACATATATGTGCATTTCATCCCTGCATGAGTCAGGCCGTACTGACTATGGGAACACAACCATGGGGACGCAGAAAGTGCTACCATTCTCTTGGGGGCACGGGAAGGGTACCACCCTGGAAGAGAGGAGGTGGGTTCTGAATGGGCCTTGAAGGTTGAGTAGGAGTGTGCCCAAAGAAGATGCTGGGAAAGGACATCCCAGAAGGAAGAAGCCGCCAGAACCCAGGCCTGGCCTGGCTGGGAAAGGGAGAGCACCCGGTGTGGCCAGCTGAGGTGAGGGTGTGGGTGGAGAGTAGCTGGTGACAGGGTGGGGCCAGGTGCCCAGGGCTTCGCACAACAGGTTCAGGAATTGACCTATTTTCTACAGGCGAGGTCGAACCATGAGTAGTTTGTAGACACAAGAGGGAGATCCGAGAGCCTGGCTCGGCAATAATGGACACTTCATCCCAAGGACTAGAGCTGCCCAGACTCAGGGCTTAGCCCCTCCACGTCAGCCCCCCAACAGGGAGGGGAAGAGGGTCCTGCATGCCCTCAGGCTTAGCACCCCAAAGGCTGGGCTGGCACTGGGCCTGGAATGATGCTGTGCCCCTCAGTGTTTGAGAACCGCCCGCCCTCAGCTCAGGGTCACCCCGGGGGAGAAGGTTTATCAGAAGGGCCACTTCGTCCAGTGAGGGCTGATTAGAGCTCAGCCTCCCCCGGCTGCCCACCGGGTGTCCTTGGCAATGACACTGGGGTCCAAGCCACTTTCCCTTCCGCCAGGAGAAAGGTGATGATGACGCCCACATCCCAGGGCTGCTGGGAGTTGTCACTTCTCAAAAGGCAAAGGGCAGAGCCATGCCAGGGGCACAGGACAGGCTCTAAACAGCCCATGTCTCTGCTAGGAGTGATTAGCCATGACAAAGGCCAGTATGTGGTACAGTGAGGCGTCACAGGCGTTAGAGAATCGGCCTCTCTCATTTGGGGTCCCCTCGCCACAAGGCTGGCGCACCTGGTCTGGCAGGGAGTGAGTTAATTGCCACCCCCCCCCC